GATACCTCCCCTAGTTTTGCAGTTTTGCATCAAAATCTCATGTGGACGCTCATCCAGGCATTCCGAATTACATCAGTGGAGATCCTACGGGGCCATCGAAGTCTACAATAATTTCGGTCTTTTTACAGATATGTCGTCGCTAGACAATGACGACGACGACATTATATTCATAGAAGAGACTTTTTGCGCGGCAACAACTAAGAGAAGGTCTCCTCTAAGGATTGCTGCCGATGCACCTGGTCCTAGTAACTACGGTGAGTCTTTTGCAATATTTTCTAACTTATGGAGGACTATCTGAAATATTCTAGCACTGCGTCGGCGAACCATTCGGGTACTCAGCACACTTTCTAAAAAATCTTTAATTTATGCGATCTATTAGGTTGAGTAGTACGTCCTCGGCCTTTTTAGCTGTTCTCATTTAGAATTGCTTTTTCTCTTACAAACTGCTCTTACAAAACCTTTCTTGGCGAGAAACTGACCGTATCTATGGACTCAGAAAGCTTGTTCGTGATGGGGATCTAGTAAGAAGATTCCAAAGCTTTCACCACCGAGTGCCTTAAAATAGTGGCATACGTCATTGAAAAATGATTTGCGTAAACTGCATAAAATTCATCAGAATGCATTACTTCGGTATCGGGTCTTTCAAAAAGTTGTGTCGTTTTTGACTCCTCACTTTTGGATGCTTTATTTTGTCAATCTCTACGCAAATTGCCACCGTTCAATATAACTTTTTGGAAAGCTATTACTCTGTTTTTCGTTCTTGAATACGGCATACTCAGAGCAGCCTGCATTTTTTCTAAATTCTGCTCACATATTTACGATGCATTTGCCTTAGCTTTGCAATAAATATGCTTAAAAGCAGTTGTCTAGAAGTTTTTATAACGATAGGAGAGCGTTGAAAATGATGAGGGTGTTGGTCTGGTATCGGACGTTGCGAACTGGGCAATTCTTGAGGTGCGCGTAAGGAGAACTTGAGAAGCTTGCTTACAGACTGGGCGTCACTTATTTATGGTTTGCGGTTCTACGGGAAGAGCCAGATAGCCCAAAACATTCGATAAAGGCTCGCCGTCAAAGATCCCCATTTCTAGGTTTCTTTGGTATTGTAGCTAGCTTAGTTAAAAGAAGGGCCTGCTTTTCTACTGTTTTGCGGAATACGATGTAGCGAGTTTACTTTGCTGCAGCCTACGGAGCTTTGTTGAATGGATGGACCACGATCATTCCATAAACTTTGCAAAACTAAACTACTCGATAAGGTTGCTGCTAACCAGTTCTCCGTTTATAGAGGCCTCTCTGTAGTTTGTAAAAATTTTGAATAACTGCTGATGCTTGCTGTGCGGTCATTGGCAGGGCTTCGTCCCCCATGCGAACATCATCCTATAATAGTAATTCAACTTCCCGATCAGTCGCCATATCTATGCAATTCTAGTTTCAGTCATTGAAGATGGAGCTGGCATCTCCAAAATTATGAGATTGGATAGTTACGAGCGACTCTTGGATGTGGAGGAAATAATCAGTTTGACGAAATCTTCCGAGAACAGGTAACAGATGATGAACTGCCCTCAGAGCTCCACTACGGTGTCATTTCAGGCGTCCATCACCTATCGAAGTATTGGAGCCCGTGAGTAATGAGTTTCAAGAACCTCTGTGCAGTGATGATGAAAAGAACGATGAGGTTTGTGCATGCTTATAAGCTTTTCTCAAAATTTGTTTCTAATAAATTTGCTTAAGTTTTCAGAGAAAAGAAAGAGGAAGGTGCCGAAGAAAAAGGTCCTATCTGAGGCTCAGCTACAGAAGCAGGTGTGGTTATTTATGATTCGACTACTTTGCTGTTTTGATGTCTCCCCCTGAATTGTTTTTTTAAACAATCTTCTTCTTTTGAAGGCTGAAAAGAAACGAAAGGCAATCGAGCGTGAAATCAGTGCATCTTTGAAATCCAAGTGCGAACAGCACATGTTCTGTCATGTCAGCCGGCGAATATTTGATGAATTTGGTAAGTTTTATCGTAATGTATTTATTTATTTTTAGGGTTGAATTTATAGTTTGCAATCGCCCGATCGCGTAACTAGCGGGAGATGCTTATCGATCGTACAATCGTCTCATTCATTTCGACAGTGCGATTGCATAAGCTAATGCCTTTTCCCAGACGCGGTTGTGCGATGGAACGATTCCAGACTATAATTGCTGCCATAGTTGTGCGGAGCATTTCAGATTAGCACCTCCTACTTTAGTTCATTTTGGTTTAATTATGTGCTTTGAAATCATTATTATTGCTATGAAACTATTGTCATTGTGTGTGCGCACCGAAAACATTCATACTCACCCCTACCAATGTGAATGTATTCTGTGTTGTGAAAGATAAATCGGAAAAGGATTCCGTGTTGTGGATGGTTAATCGGAAAAGTTTAAGGATTCCCTAATCTTTTGAAAAGTTGGACTTCTCCTAAGCGCAGCAGTGATCTCGTTCATTAGAAGCTGGGTTATTTGTTCCCTCCAAGAATGGTCTGCAAATGTAATGCTTTTTATTCAGTTTTTTGACGCGTTGCAGCTCAAATGGTCCTACTTGATAAAATAAACGCATATTCCATTTCCCAAGAATTCTTCATTCAGCAGAAACTGAAGTTCACACTCGTATGCTCTTCGCGGAGAGGAACATCCATGAGCAGTTGATTTGTGACGAAGAGCGTCCTGATATGCGGGTACTGTGGAATCGCAAGTGCATTGAAGCCGTCGAAAATGATGGAACGGTAGAGAAACGAGAATATTTCGTGGGTTTTCAAAGTCATTGATCATGCAGCGTTTCTTAGGGCTTGCCTTATTGATGGCCTTATAGACTCCACAACATTTATTTGCGGTGGTTTTGTCTTGCGATTCGCTCAAAGAACTTGTACGTAGTAACAGCATGGAAGATTTCGTCGCCACACAGAAGTTATCTTATCCCGTTGCGAATTCGACACTGATACTCATAGTTTTTGGAAAGGATTCTCGCCAGGTTGGTTTTCATTACTGTTTTAGAGACTTCTATTCACTATAGTCATTACCTCTTTTAAATGCGCTGTCTCATTCTAGATGTTTGAGTTTTCTATCGAGCTGTTCGATTGTTACCGAACTCAGCTGCATTACGTCCACAGTGCGCAGGAGTTCGCCGTTTATCTCGCTCAAATCAGCCGTGCATTAGCAAAAATGGAGCGCTGCTTAGCAAGTCACGATCGGCTTGTCATAGATGTAGAAAAGGTGCCTTTTATTCCGATTATTTTCAATTATTTACCATTTCCCAAGCTGTAAATAATTATTGGAAGAGTGCTCATGCTCCTGGATACTGACCTTTCCTTGGACTTATTACGTTATTGTTATTTTTTTTACTCTCAATCGCCTAGTTGGTGTTCAGGGGATTAAAGATGCACCACCTGATGAATTGGTTCGCGATTGGTGGAATAAAATGTTGGCAGTGATTTGTCGTATGCAAGATGGACAGAGGCGAGCGCTTCTCGCTGCTTATCCGAATCCGTTTCTGGCCAGTCGACGATTCACGGAGGTTGATACCAAATTTTTATACTTCAAAATACAATTAGCCAACTAAAAGTGATGTTTCGAAATTCAGATGGGTTACACACTTGCTGTGCGAGAACTGGCTGAGCTCCAGTCTGAAGGCGGACGTCGGCTCGGTCCTGTGATGGCTCATCGTCTTTTCATGATTCTCACTGACACTTCAGGGATGGAAATCGTAGGATAGGACATTTAAGTTCTTTTTGTACTTGATAATACTTCTGATTTTGAAACAATCTGGATAGTAGCTTTAACAGTTTCTGGTACATTTTTTTTATTCACCCACACATCTGAATTCTATCTGTCTTTAATGGTTTATCTAAGCACTTTGATTCATGCTTTGCAATCGTACTAATTGCATTGATTTGACTGACTCTTCCTACATATTTACGGAAACATTCTATCATTCCCCGCTACCACATTGCAGTCCTGACATTGTAATCGCGGCATACTAAACATTTTCTTGATACTAATAGCTTCATTTTATATTTGCTCGACAATGTTTGTTACCATGCTATCGTAGCTTTACACGTAAACCAATCAAATCTTGAAGTTGAAGCTCACTCTCTGCAGGCATTTGTTTCTATTCTCCGAATTTGATTCACTTCACTTGAAAAGTTCCGCCTTTTCACCCGGTTGCTAATTTCCTGATCTCATTTCAAATGCATGTAAAATTTGGCATTGGAAAAAAGGTGTTCTTGTCTGTGACTGTACGGCTTTCAAGAGCCCGCTGTATTTTGCTGAATTGATCAAATATTGCTGACTTTCGATAGACGTATCTTAGCTTTTTTGCAGGATTATCTTTTGTTCTGAGCAGGTGCCGCGCTGATGCTGACGTAGATTGCTGGTAGCGGCGATCTAATCGGTTGTATTTCCACGCATAGGGTCTCTCCATTGTGCTTGGCGTTCTACGCCGCAGGTACGATCGTGTTTCATTGTTATGAATCACTTTAGCGATTTGTTCTCGTCCGCGCTTGTGGTCACAGCACTGTGCTTTGCCCATGAAAATGTATAAACTCCTGGTGAGGTTCTTTCAGAAGAGTAGTTCGGTTTTATTACTGAGTCGGATTACTATTAGTGATCAGTCATTTGAGGCTACATCTGTCTTTTCAACAGGGCGACACATCTTCTGCGATGCAGGTCCGCCTGCATGCTCGGAATATGTTTGCGTTCATGGTTGGAGCTGCATTCATCTACCTGGCGTATATGATATTTTTTAAAGCTGGTGACGGCTTTCCAGAAATTGACGTTGATCTCAGCGATGTTGTCAGGTTTGTTGTCTATACAAATGCATAAGCGTCACTAACCAGCGTTCAATTCCGTAATCTTTAAAACTCCTCGGCAACTTTTTTCAAGCTTTTATCATTTTGCTGTTTTTTGAACTTACTGTAAGCTGTCGTTCTTCCATATGTTTCACCAATGTTCCCATTTAAAGTTGTGTCAATTTACATATATAGCTCTGGTTGATCTATTAGTCCCTTGATAGCTTTTCCATCTCCTTTCTTTTTTATCAATAGAGGTACTTAAAAGGTGGCTGTCTTCCCTTGCTGCGCACACGGTAGAGGGGATCGAGAACTTTGATTGGCTGGAGATGAATCCCTCTCAAGCAAACGAAGCCTTCCGCTCTTCAGAGTTCGATCAATAGATAGCTGTTGTTCTAGAGGCATAAAAGTACTGACTGACATGCTCCTTTTTCCGCAGTGTATATTTCACCATGCTTCATGTGTAGGTCGAATCGTATTTCTTCTATAATAGTTGAAGATTGTGCCACCTGTATCCAATGCCGTGAACAAATCTTAAGAGTTGTTTTTCCGCAAAGGAGTAAAAATCCGAAGATAAATCAGTTGGCTGAACTCTTATCCGCCTATCTCGTTGAGTGCGACTTCGGAATTGTTTCGCTCTATTCGTCACACTCACCTTTTTCCCTCCTTTATCTCTTCTTTACACATTGACGACAGCACGACGCGCATGCGCGTCATCCACGCAGATGGGACTTGCTTCGCTCGAATTATCCAGTATTTCTCACGCTCCCAAACTGTTCCTTACATTATCGGATCCAGAAAATAGCACATTTATTACCAGAACGGAATTATTGAAGGAGGAGTGTTGGTTATGAAAAAAATCCGGAAAAGGGATGCCGAAACACGCGCACTACAGGCTGCCGTCAGTGTGTTAATGGTGATCCAAGTTGCCTGCACGGTAGCATTATGCAGTTCGGCGTGCTTTTTTGGCATTATTATCGCTATGTCGAACATATCCCAGCAACGATAGTCCCTTTATAAGATAGCAGAACTATGATCGAAAAATTTCTGAAGAGTTTAGGAAGGTCGTGAACATTAAAGATGATTTCTGTCTTGCTTTCAATCTTTAATTCTTGCTAGGTTTTCTTAGTTTTGCCGCTGCTTGTTTCATCGCTGGTGCTAACACCATATATTTTCCTCGAAATGACTTCCAAAGCTTTTGTCTCAGCGAATAACAGTGGACAAAAACACGATAAAGTATGAATGGGTATGTTATCGAACGCATGGGTGTAATATTCTGTGCCGCCTCTTTGCCTACTGTGTGCTGTTTCTTAGTTTATAGTACGTAGCAGCGGTAGCTCCTCTTGAACGTATGCAGCTCTTCGACTTCTTCCACTGTTTTGGCTAGAATTCTAAAAAATGACCACAGTTCTACTCAACACATACATTATTTTCAGTTATGCTGTCTTGGCAGTGGAGATGGGTGGATATGCAGTGCGCAAAATACACGAGGAAAATGGTGAGCAGTTTCTCTTGCACATTTTTTTACGTGGATGTAGCCCCTGGAAATGAGAGCAGGCCATAGCTCCTATCAAGCTCAAGAATCGGAGGTGGCTTATCTGTCACTTGCGAGGCATTGAACTTCTCGTAATCACCGCAAGTATCCAGGAGCTATCATGGCTAATTGCGCACTTATGACCACAGTCGCTCGCATACCTATGATTTTGGGTGCCGTTAATAAGCGTTATTTAGCATTGAATATCGCACAAAAGGGTTTGACGGACGAAGGAAAAGCTGAGCTACTAACTAAAGCTGATCTTGTATCGAATTTTCTCATCCTCGATGTTTTACAGCGGTTTCCACGTCTTAAGGTATTCACATCTGCGAATATTATGGCGCCTTCCAATCTCCTTAGTTCGTCTTTTTTTAGATCGTAACAGAGGAAAAAGATTCGTCCATCTCGGAATCAGATGCATCACCATATCGAGCGGACACGTATTCCATGTGGTTATCCATCCGTGATGTACTTGCTAAAATTCCATCTCAACGCCTTATACTTTCTGACGTTCTCGTGTACGTTGATCCGCTCGATGCCACACAGGAATACACCGGTATCAGTTTGCGCCTTCAACTTCATCTTGCATCAATTTCTAGTTTAATAACGTTATTTATCAGAGGGTCTGACTGAATACGTCACTGTAATGACATGTGTGGTCGTCAAGGATGAACCGATTTTTGGCGCTATTTATCGACCGTTCTCGAACGAAACTGGTAAGTGTTGCTGACAATTGGTGAAGTTTTCATACGGTTTTCCGTGGTGAGCTGCGGCTCTGTGCGTGACCGCGGCGAGCGCGGACGATTCGGTTGTGGCACTGTTCGTTCGCTCGCGCGTCCCGTCAATGCAACCGCTCGCAACAGCGGAAGCCAGGGTGAATATTGCTTGAGGATTCCTCAACGGCACGTCGAGGATTTTCGCCTGATCCTTTACGTTCTCGCGCGCGGATATTCACTCTCGCCACCCGCGAGCCGTCTGTGCTCTCCGCGCGTACATTCACTCTCGGCACTACTCTCGCACAGCAGAGAGCGATGGTCGAGGAATTCCTCGACCGTTATTCACCCTGCGGGAGCACAACTCGTCCACGCTCGCCGCGGCCACGCCCTTAAGTGTGGAAAATTCGGAGACGTGAGCAGCTGATATCGTCTAGCTGTGATATTTTCAAGTTTTAAAATTCTTCTCGATTGGATTCATCTTGCATGCGAAGTGGATTTCACTTAAGCAACGGCATGTTCCCATCCAGGAAAAAAAGAACCATTTCTTACAGTTGTTGGAGTCAAAGGATGGGGTGTGATGACGTCATCTGGTGAAAAATTATCCCCGGTGGACCTAAAAGATACAGTGAAGAAAATAGTAGTATCACGGTCAGTCTATCCGCTATTCATTTCATTTTTGATCTAGATGTGGCTTTTCCCTAGACGTAAAGTTGAGAAATTCGTTCGTGTTCTAGATCCCATGCAGGTGCTGTTGAAAAGCTGGCACAGCAGTCGTTCGGTGATGAGTTTACAGTAGAACCAGCTGGAGGAAGTGGCTACAAAACTCTGCGGTTATTGAATGGCACTGCTGGTTTGTTTCCTAACCATCCTAATTTTTTGTAAGGGAAGCAAACTACGGTT